TACCAAAATCCCAGTCTTCTAGAAGGGAAGCCACATGTTCAGCGTAAGCCATGTCTTGGTACAGACACTAACAGTGAATCACCCTTCTCAGTTCAACACTAGGGGAAAATACTCATAATTCCCAGATCCCAGTTGAGGCGATCTTTGGCAAGCTGGCCTTCCTGAAAGAAGTCTCAGACCTGCTGTGCTGTCTCCTGCACCAGAACATACCTGGACTGAAATTGCCATGTGGCAGCTCCACGCGTAACTCTTTGTTGTAGCATGTCTACCTGCTGTATCCATTCCCTCCAGCCATTTCTGAGGGGTCCACTTTCTACTAGCCAATGCTTTTTATTTTCTCTTTCTGATCCTAGTGGAATGAATAGGTTTTTAAGTTAGTGATCTGTAAGTATTTAGAACAAAAATGGTCCATAGGCTCAAAAACAGATTCTTTAAGAAAATCATGCCTATCTAACCCTTTATTTTCCTATAAAAATAAAAAGGCAATTTATTTTTTCTATACTAGTTGTACCAGGGCAGGATGTTTTTGTATTTCAGCCTTGTCTTTTACATCATCTTCATGTACAAAAGTGGAGACACAAGGTTTCTGATTACTTGGCAGATCTCACTTCAGGATGATAGTGAGAGGAGCTCAGCTTAGGAGTAAGACTCCATCTCCATCTCAGCCTGGACCTGTACACTTCTGCCCCAAATTGAGGGTGGGAGGCCCCAGTGGCAGTTCATTAAGTTTGCCCATTACCCACAGCAGACAGATGCACATGAGCTTGATGCATGAGCCTGACAGCATGTGGGAGAGGCTGAATCCAACAGGGTGGAAGTTATTCAGGAGGAATGGCAAGTCCACAGCCACAGGGTCTATGGCTCATCCACTTCTGTGCCCTTTCTAGCCTACTCAGAAAATTAGGTTGCCTACCAAAATGCCCTGGAGACACAGGCATGCCCCTTTTAGCCCCTCTGGCTTAGAAGCCCTCCTCTCTGATTCTTTTTTTTTTTTTGGCCGGTCCTGGGGCTTGAACTTGGGGCCTGGGCTCTGTCCTTGAGCCTCTCTGTGCTTAAGGCTAGTGTTCTACCACTTGAACCACAGCACTACTTCTGGATTTTTCTGTTTATGTGGTACTGAGGAATGGAACCCAGGGCTTCATGCCTACTAGGCAGGCACTCTACCACTGAGCCACTTTCCCAGCCTTCCTCTCTGATTCTTCACCTGCTTTTTCCTACACTGTGTGTACGTGCATGGTTGACATGGTCTTTCAGCCATGGGTCAGGCTCCAGAGCTAGTTTTCATGTCTATTCTTACATTCATTTAGCAAATATTAATGAGCACCTCTGTGTGCCAGTGCCTTAATCTGTGGAGGGCATGCAGTGGAGACTGATCAGGTAATTGCAGTTATAAAAACTTGACCTTAGGCACTATGCCACTGTACATCAGGAATGTGGGTGGGAGTCTAGAAGGAGGGCTCCTTGCACTGCTCTTTCGCTGGAATCTGAAAGAGATTGTACAGTTGGCTAGAGGAGAGGGCAGATCTAGGAATGTGTGTCTCCCAGTTCCCCACAGCTGCAGCCCAGACTGTGGCTGGACCTCAGGAGAGGACACCTGGTTGATGCTTTCTGGGCTATGTTCAGAAGTTAGGGGAGTACTATTTGTTGGGTGGGGAGGGGTTCCCTTAGCTATCACCTGGGCTGAGTACCTCTGACCCAACTGGGACAGCACATGGAGACAGCTCTTAGGGCCTTCCAAGTTCAGACTAGAAATTCAGGGAATAGTTTGTGCCTTGGGCTGCTTCCTCCCCCTCTGCCTATGTGGAAAAGAAGCCATGATCCAAACATCTCCACATCCCTCTAGTGATTCTCATAATTACTCTCAAACACCCACTTCTCTCTAAGTGGGGGGAGGCTTCAGGATAGGATGAGGCATCATATATACCTCAGCTCCTTTGTGTGCTATTCATGCTCTGAAAGCCTGCTGCAGTCCCCCAACTCCACCCATACTTGCTTTTCTCTCCCAGTCCCACCCCAGATGAGAGAGACCTGGGAGGAGGCCAGTCTCCCTCAGATACTTATTCCCAGCAATTTTTTCTGTTATTGCCAATTGAAGATAAATTGAAAATAGCAGAGAAATGGAACCCAGACAGAGACCTGAGCCAAGCTCTTGTCATGTGTTGCCATGACATTTGCATGTGTTGCCATCCAGGCAAGTGTGAGGTGGGCTCTGCTGCCCTGGGAGATGGAAGAGCAGGTCCCCAGCCTCGTGCTGCAGCCCTGAGCATGCTTGTTCCAGCTTAGAGCGCCTGTTTCACCATCCATGAAATGGGAGGGTTCTGTTATTTCAGAGTTCAGGCCTCCTGTCACCTGTCCACCTGCTCATTTTGGCTACAGCAGCAAGTGTAGCTGTGTTCACTGACCCCATGTGCCTGGAAGAGATGGTTTGCAAGCCTGGGTACCAGGAGTGGCCATGTTCTTAGAAAGAGTGTACCAGCGCAGGAAGCACAAGCCAGGAGTCAGGAGGAGAAGAGGAAGATGAGGAACAGAAATTGGAACTATAGATTGAGTATTCCTAATCTGAGATCCTAGGCACTCCAAAATCTGAAACCTATGGGCAACATCGCCCTACAAGTGGAGATTTCACACCTGGCCTCACCTCACAAGTAGTAGGTAAATGTAGGTGCACTAAAAATATTGTACAAAATTACCTTTAGGTTATGTGTGTAAGGTATATATATGAGACATAAATATATTTTGTGTGTAGACTTGAGTCACTCTTCAGAATATTTCTTTGTGAACATGCAAATGTTCTAAAATAAAATTTGAAATCCAGAACACTTCTGGTGACAAGCATTTTGGAAGTGGGGATACTAACCCTGTACAGTAAATAGAGTGGTAGTATGTATGCTGAGTGCGGTGGTTTATGCCTATAATCTTAAGCTACTCAGAAGGTAGCGATTGGGAGGATAATGGCTCCAGCAAAAACTTAGCAAGAATCCATCTTAAAGAACACACAGGGCATAGTATACATCCGTAATCCCAGCTACACAGAGGCATGGATTGGAGAATCACAAACTGACATGGACCCAGGCCAAACCCACAAGACACTATCTGAAAAAATAAATACAGAAAAAAGGCCTGGAAGTTGGGAGTCAAGTTTACCTAGCAAACACATTGCCCTGAATTTAAAAAAAAGAAGGGGTGGGGAGAAAGTACTTCTCAGATGTGGCCCCTGGACCAGCTATATCACATGGAAAATTGTTAAAAAGGCAAATTCATGAGCCCTGTGGGATCAGAAGCCCAGGGATGGTGCCTGTGATCTGTTTTCCCAGCCCACAGTGATTCTGATGCAAGCTAATATTTGAGGACTGATAGGATAGAAGGACTTGGGAGAAAGATCAAAGAGGAAGGGGGAACTAGAGTTTACTACTGTCTATTGAAAGTGGGCATTTTCGTGTGTGTGTGTGTGTGTGTGTGTGTGTGTGTGTGTGTGTGTGTGTGTGTGTGTGTGTGTGTGTGTGTGTGTGTGTGTGTGTTGAACTGGAGATAGTAGTCTCATGGACTTTTCTGCCAAGGCTGGCTTTGAATCATGAACCTCAGATCTCAGACTCCTGAGTAGCTAGCTGGATTATAGGTGTGAGCCATAGATGCCTGGCTCTGCTTGGTTCTTTTTTTTTTAATTGATCATGGAACTTGAACTCAGGGCCTGGGAGCTGTCCCTGAGCTCTTTTTGCTCAAGACTGGCTCTCTACCACTTGAGCCACAGCTCAACTTTTGGTTTTCTGGTGGTTAATTGGAGATAAGAAGTCTCATAGACTTTCCTGGGCTAACTTCAAACTGTAGTCCTCAGATTTCAGCCTCCTGAGGAGCTGGGATTACAGATGTGAACACTAGCCCAGCCTGAGGTTATTTTATGGAAACTATTCAGGGTTATGGCCCTCTCATGCCTGTTAAAGCTGACTTCAACTGAGGCAACTGAGTCCCAGATGTTTAGTTCCATGTTAGAGTCACAGGGATGGTGGCAGCAGTAAGTTAGAACTCAAGCCCCACTGTCCCAAAGCCTGAGTTTTCACCAGGTGGTGCCCTCACCCAGCTCCCCTCACCTGAGCCTCCACTGCATACCCAGCTCCCTCTTCTGTCCAATCAACACCAGATCTGTGCCATGCAGCCTCCCATGGAAAGAGGGCACACCATTAAGCAAGTCTGGGAGACTGCAGGGAAAAGAGAGGAGGTGGGTGACTGTCATCCTGCCTGTCCCCCAGCTTTCAGTGCCAAGTACACCAGCAAAATGCTGGTGTTCATACAGGATGACGGAGCTGTCTTTATGTAACAAGAACACACAGGAAGATGCAGTTCTCAGCTACTCAGTGATGGCTGCATATGCCAAGTCTTGTATAGGGTGTCATGTGGGGAAATGAGATGAAAGGCAAGTGGAATGGGTGGCCCCAAGGAGCCAACAACAAATAACATTAACTAGCTTGAGTGCCAGCTTGCCTGGGCCACTGGAGCAGATCAGGGTAGTGCAGAGATTCGATCAGTATCACTAGGAATCAGACCTAAAACCTTGGAACCAGAAGATGTGGGCTCATTTTCTGGCCCCCAGACTTCCTAGGTCACCACATGTCTGACTGGCTCCTTACATATAGAACAATTCATAATACTTGCTTGGAGATTGTTCTATTAGATGCTAACAAATCCTCAATGATTTTGTTTCATTCCCATGAGAAGATGAGGCCATAGCAAAGCAGAGAAGGCTGCATGGAAGAGGTTGATTGTCACTTGACACAAGGATGGAGAATATTTAGTTAGTGCTTTGTGTGTCTTCTCTATGAAATTTCTGGATGTGCAATGTTATTGAAGGAGAATAGCTTTCACACAGATCTAGCTGTGTGCATATAATTACATGAAAGCAAGTTGCCTTCCTCAACAAGGGGAAATTGCAAGAGGATTTTTAAGCGGGCAGAGACTGTATCATCAACAGGGTCTCATGAAAGCCTGACCTCTGCTCTTTCCCGCAGATGATGCGCTTCTCCTGGCAGAGCTACCGGCGATATGCGATGGGCAAGAATGAGCTCCGCCCACTCACCAAGGATGGCTATGAGGGCAGCATGTTCGGTGAGTTGGCTACCCCTCTCTACCCCTCTGGTGGCCCAATACAGTTTCATTTTGTGACTTTTTTCACCCTGAGCTGAGACCTGGGGCTCCTGGGGCTGTGGTCCTCTAGGCTATTGCAGCTTCCTAGACTTGGGGGACCCAAGTACTTCTCTAACCTTACAGATTTCTTGGTTACTTACTTTTTAGAGTGCAAAATTTGGAAATGTGTTTAGGGATATGAGGGAGAGAGATTGCAATCAGAAGAACATAGGAATGTAAGTCCACTCCTCTGGGTCATGGCTGTTAAGAGGATATCAGTGTCCAGGAGGCTGGTGAGCCACTGCCTTTAGAATCATGGGGTGCATCTCTGGTGCTGCCTGGCAGATGACAGAACCATCACATGTTGCTTGATGCTTTCCCGTGGCCTCACCAGCTGCTGCCTTTGCCCCTGTCATCCATGGCATTCCCCAAACTCAGAGCTTAGAGATCCCCTCTCCGCGTCTCCCAGAGACTGAAGTGATGTAAACACCTAGCCTCACATTCAAATGTGACCCCAGCCAAGGGGCCCACTCCTGCTCTGCAAACTGCTCGTGGGAGAAGATACTGGATAGCCTGACTGAGCCTACCCTGAGTGGTGAGAGTCCATAGCCTCTGCCCCTCACTCCGGGTGTTCGGTCTCCTGGAGTCGGAACAGAAAAGATAAGTATGAGGTGAAATCTTCAGGAAAACCTTAACGGCAGGTTGGTCCTGTGTGTGGACGGCCCCACTCCAGGTATCTGGGTTACAAGAGAGGCCTGCGGACACCCCCGCCTCCCCCATGAAAGCACATTAACCTTCCTTCCCGGGTGGTGCATGACTCACAGGCGAGTCAGGGGCATGGGACATGAACTTGGGTAGCTTGATCTGTCTGACTATCCTAGGCATGCAGGGGGAAAGGAAGTGTTAAAGATTGTAAACCAGGCAAAGAAGAATTTGTTATGCCAGGTGGATGTTGCCACTTGGACATCTTTGCTCTTTCCTTCTGTGGACTTTTTCTCCTTTTATATATAATTTCATGTCTTTTCCCTTTTTTTGGAAGAGGGCTTAACTTAAATCATAAGTATTTCCCTAAGTCATTTACATTTTTCATAAATAATATTTTTAAAAATTAAAAAAAAGCTGGGCGCCGGTGGCTCACGCCTGTAATCCTAGCTACTCAGGAGGCTAAGATCTGAGGATCACAGTTCAAAGCCAGCCCGGGCAGGAAAGTCCGTGAAACTCTTATCTCCAATAAACCACTAGAAAACCGGAGGTGGCGCTGTAGTTCAAGTGGTAGAACGCTCGCCTTGAGCTGAAGAGCTGAGGGACAGCACTCAGGCCCAGAGTTCAAGCCCCACAACAACAACAAAAAAAATTGGGATAGGATTTTGCTTTATTGCCCAAGCTGCTTTCAAACTCCTAAGTTCAAACCATTCTTCTGCCTCAGCCTCAACGGTAGCTGGGACTACAGGTGAGTACCACCATACTCACCTCATATTGAATGTTTTTCAGCTTTCAATGATTGGACGTGGCATCATTATTTAACCATTTGTTTATGTCGGGCAGAGGTTTTTTTTCCTAGTTTTTGCTATTTAAAATAATGCAGGAAACCAGGTGCTGGTGGTTCATATCTATAACCCTAGCTTCTCAGAAGGCTGAGATCTGAAGATCACAGTTTGAAGCCAGTCTGAGCAGAATAGTCTCTGTGAGATTTTTATCTTTAATTAACTAGCAATAAGCCAGAGGTAGAGGTGTCACTCAAGTAGTAGAGTGACAACCTTGAGTGAAAAAGCTAAGGGAGAGCATTAAGCTCTAAGTTCAAGCCCAGCACAAATACATAAATAGGTAGATAGGTAGGAGATAGATAGACATACTCAGGAGTTACCACTTTGTAAGTAAAGTTCTATTTGAGGGTAGATTCCTGGAGAGGGATTCCAAGTTATATGGAGTAAGAGATGTTTCTTAACCTTACATACAAAGTGTGGTTCTTTGTTAGGAGGCTAGCTGCCTTGCCTGCCTGGGACACAGACCTGTGCCACACCTCCCTCCATACCAAGTGAGTGACTGTCAGGCCTGCCCAGGCCACAGACCTGCTCCACATCTCCCACACCAGGGAAAGATGCCTAGTATAGAGCTCATGAAGGTTGTTTGGCTACCACTGTAAAGGGTAAACTTAGCAATTTGCCAATGCTTGGAGAACTTGTGGACAGTGGGGAGGGGTGTCTCGTTCTGACACTTCACAGCTTAGACATAACTATTGTTCAATCACAAGAAACCCTTCTGTAAGCTTGCTCAGGGCCTGAGATTTAAATCTCAACCCTTCAGGCCCTTCCCAACCCTCAGGCCTTGTGGAGTATGTAGGCTGCTGAGATGCTGGAGAAAACCTAGTCCTTGATTCAGAGGACTTGGCTTAAATCTTCATTCTGTCCTAAACTACATGGCCAAATCCAAGACACTTAACTTCGTTGGGTCACTTCCCATTTGTCCTTCATGTTGAGGTTACTATGAGGATATAAATGAGAGTGTACAAACATGAAAAGGCCACCTACACTTGAGTGATTTAAGATTTTCCTTGTGATTAATGAGGTTAACAGTTGCCCTAGTGAGCTCTTGTAGCCTCTGCAGTGATGAGGTTTGTCTGAGCCTTTGGAGTGTCCTTAGGGGGCCCTGGGGCCTGCATCCCACCTGGCTGTGAGCAGGGAGCCTCCTTAACCAGGTGAGGGATCTTTTGTATCTTTCGCTAGTGTGCTTGCTGGGGCCAGTCCAGGGGCTGCCGCTGGAGATGTAGGGGCAGGCCACATAGTGAAATTCCCACGTGCCTACTAGCATGGACACTGGTACTTCTCTGGCATTCTCTAAATCTGTGCAGGGTTCTCGGAGAAGGGCAAGTAGAGCTAATCACAAATGGGTGGGAATAGTCCTTATTGGCTTACAATTCTGTGTTTCTGGAGCCAGACTTTCCTGCTTCCTGCTGTGTAAAGTGGCACTAACATAGCACAAGAGTCCAGCCTGTGCACTGACACAGCTGTCGCTCCAAGGTGGTGGCTGTGACTGTGGTTAATGCAGAGCTAATAAGAGCAGATAGGGACTCATTTTGAGGGCCTGCGAGAGACTCCAGCTAGGTGGACTCCAAGGATAGAACAAGGGGGCTCAACTGAACCAAACATCCACACTCCACTTTTCTTCTGGACCTGGGTTTCTGGGTAGCAGCACTCCTACACTCTGCCACTGCCATCTGTGAGCTCATGCAGGCTGAGCCCTGCACACACAGATGCCTTGGGGTGGCAGCGCCCTTCCTATCTCGGCTGAGTCCAGGGCATAAGGAGACACCCTGCACAGTTAGACAGGGCTCTTGCAGCCTCATACATGGGGGAAAGTAATGGGTTCCGCTGGTGCTTCTTTTTGCTGAGACTTAGAGAAGCTGCAGCAAAGGCTGTCAGGCTCTGAGCTGTTCTCCTTGTATGGCCTTTCACCAAGTTGAATCCCCCTCTGGCCGCCTATTGGCCTTCCTCAAATCCATTCTTACTTTGAGGACCAGCCCTGGTGATGAGGTTTCTGACAGCCAGGTTTTGTGTCTGAAGCATTTCAGCATGTAAGTAGCTTCCTTTTACTCACATTCAGCTCAGCAGGCCCTGTCAGGAAATGTTCCCAAGGCCCTAGTGACCACGAGCAAAAGAGACAACATACTCCTTGCCTGTGCCTCGGGCCAAGACAGATTTCTTTTTCTTCCTCTGAGAGTTGGCTTTGAGGACAGTTGGTATCCAGCTGGTCTTGGTGTCCATTTGAGCCTGGGAAGCCTCAGGCTGTGCAGTGGGCAGGGTTCTTGGGCCTCTGGTGATTATAGAAGAGATGTGGAAGGGCTGGCCTGGGCCAACTCACTCTTAATATCAGAGGTCAGCTTGCAGCATGGGTCTGTGGGAGCAGGGCTAGCAGAACCAGTGGCCATTATAAAGCTGCCATAAAGCAGGCAGCTTGCTCAGTGAAGCCAAGCCTCCCACTGTCAAAGGGGCAGACACCTGCTCAGAGGAATTGAGTGTGGTAAGTAAGCTAGCTGAGGAACCTGAGCTGTAAGACCAGAGGGCTAGAATTTCCATGCTGCCTTGGTGCTTACTACCTGTGTAAGCTTGGGCAAATTTCTTAATCTCTCTGGGCTTAGTTGCCACCCATTTACAAAGTGGGGCAATAGTACTAGTACATCCTTTGCAGGATTGCTTTAAGAAGGAAGTGAGTTAATCCCTATGGAGAGTTGATGCTCATGCCTGATCCCAGATGGCCTGCTGCAAGTGTCATTGTAACCTGGAGATGCAGGGCCTTTGGATCAGTATGTGCCCATTCCATTGTCCAGGGCATGCCCAAGTCCCCAGACCCAGGAATCCATGTGAGGACTGTAGGCTAGCCCACCCAATCCTCCCCATCCATCCTGTCCAGTCCCCCAGCTCTCCATGCCATGGCAGAGATTGTGTGTCGGCAGTCCACTGGTCGTCAGTGTATCTTTCACTCCTTCATTTAAGCAGCTGCCTGGGCATTTTTAATTGGGAAGAGTGGAAAGGCTTGAGCAGGTTGCCTCTGACCAACCTAAGGGTCTAGGACAAGTAGCAGGTGGCTCCTTACATCAGTATTCACAGACACCCTGAAAGTACTTAACACCCATCTCTCCAAGGAGCACAAGCCATGCGGACTCCATTTTCTTATGGTATAGAGGACACTGTCATGGGGTCCAGAGGATTGATGACACTGGAAGGCCCCTTTACTGAGGGGGGAAGGCCCCCCTCATTGGGGGGCTCAGTCAGGGGAAGGAGTTGCCTGGAGTAACACAGCATGGTCACTGTAGATTAGGGACTTAAACTCTGGTGCACTTTATCACTCAATCTGAGATGGCCAAATTGCTGGGTCACCAGCAGGAATGGATATTCTCAGAGATTTCATGGAACATTCTGTCTTGTGAGGTGTGTGATTTGAGGGTTAAACTGCCCCCCGTACATACATCATTCCAGCTCTACAGC